TTAGTATACTCTTACATTACAGTTTTTGTAAAATATCTCAGAAATGAGATATTTTCCCGCGGTAAAAAGTATCCTATATTGTGACCCGGATAACCAGCTATCACCATACCAAATTTCATCAAAATCTCTCAAGTAGTTTTTCTGTGATGCGGTAACAGACAGACAGACAAAAATTCTAAAAACTATAGATTCGGCCTCTGTATCGATAATAATGTCTATTGCAATAGAATTTTCTAAAAAATATTTAATGTACAGATTCGGCTTAGTTACAATTTTATTATATGTACTTATAGATGATGTTAGTATAAAAGCTTATACAATACTGTGGAATGGTATTTGGCGCCACCACGCGCTATGCGTGACTAATAACCGGATGGCTTAGAACGAGTCTCATTATGAATTCATTATTTATGTGCAAAAGTATAAGAATCTCGTTTTTGTTTTTTACTATGTACATACTAGCTATTGCACGCGTCTTTACAAGTCGCATGTCTTATGCAGATAAGATTATTTGACTCAAATCGTATTTTTTTCCCATTTACTTAAAAAAATTACAGACATTATTTGTAGGTAGGTATATAACCGAATCGAGTATTACAATAAATAATAATAAATAAATAAATATTTAATTCAGTACAAATTATAATTTTATAGTCGGCAACAATAACAAGTTTCCGAAAAACTTTGAAAACGTATTATCCTTTGTCATATTTAATAGATAAACTTGATGAGAATTTGTTTAGGCATTCCGGCTTAATTGAATAAATATTTATTCAACACTAGCATTGCCCGCGGCTCTGCCGACGTTCAGATGCCAAAACCGTATAAGCTGTCACCGTACCAAATTTCTTCAAAATCCTTTCTGTGATTTTTCTGTGATGCGGTAACAGGGACAGACAGATAGACAGACAGACACAAATTCTAAAAACTATAGATTCGGCCTCTGTATCGATAATAATGTTTATTTCAATAAGATTTTCCAAAAGATATTTAATGTACAGATTCGGCTTAGTTACAATTTTATTATATGTATAGATTATTCAAATGCTTATTTATTTCATTGTAAAGTAATGAAATCTTAAAACAATTTACTTCTCTACTCTATGTTCATCGGTTCCACAAACCCATGTTCCTACTTTTGCACGCACAACGGGGTGCAATTGTAGGTAAAAATTGAATTTAATCGACCAATTAACATAAAATTTATGTATATTTTTTAATTTTGATAAAAAGTGCCATTCTCATCCATTCAGCTGTCTTTAAGTGATACACCATAAAATAGTGAAACAGACCGAATGGATTAAAACTGAGGTGTCTGTTACATTCTAAACACAACATACTGAGAATAAAATATGTTATACTATAATTTATCAGTATTATATATAAATAGATATAATATGAATTATAATTCAAAACATTTATATTTTTATGCAAAAATAATAATTTGTAATTATTTTCTGTCCGTACATAAAACAAACGATACGATATCTGTTTGATAGCGATAATCAAAGCTAACACATTATTGAATTACAAATTAAATTGCAACTAATGGAATGTAACATGTGTTATGCGTTATATGTCTTGTTAGGGTTGTTGACAAAATGCTTTAGTGGCTTATTATCATGAGGTGAAATGTAAATTTATATATTTAACTAGCATTGCCCGCGGCTCGGCCCGCGTTCAGATGACCAAAAACCAAATTCTTAGATTTTACATGTTATCATACTCTTACATTGCAGTTTTTGTATTCTCAAAAATGAGACATTTGCCCGCGGTAAATAGTATCCTATATGTTGACCCGGATAATCAGTTATCATCATACCAAATTTCATCAAAATCCCTCTAGTGGTTTTTCCGTGATGCGGTAACAGACAGACTGACAGACAAAAATTCTAAAAACTATAGATTCGGCCTCTATCGATAATAATGTTTATTTCAATAAGATTTTAAAAAAAATATTTTTTGTACAGATTCAGCTTAGTTTCAATTTTATTATATGTATAGATTTATTTAAATGTATAAATTAAACCAACAATTCATACGATAATATTCCCTGGGAACTTTACATACCTACAGAGATAATAAACCTTTTTTTTTATATTAACTGTAGGCTAAAACTCACATCGACTCTGCTGTGTTTATATGTAGAAGAAGGACAAACTATATATACTGTTCTATTATTATATATAACACTCAAGAATATATATTTATATATATATATATATATATATATATATATATATATATATATATCCACGACTCACTCAAATGTGTCTCTACATAGGTACTAACGGTAGCTTATATGTTGCTCCAGGTTTTTTGTTTATGTACTAAATTTCATTCTAATCAGTCCAGCCGTTTCAGCGTGAAGGATAAACAAACACACAAACTTTCGCATTTATTATACAAGTCTGGATTACATTGTTATAGATATAGTAGGTCACAATGAAGATAATGCTAATTACATCGTCTGTAAACTTAGTATAGAACAAACATATAACATGTAAGCGTGGTCCATGTAAATTAACATTTTACACGTCTATTATTAAGAACATCGTGACATTTTTATGTAATCATTAGTATTCCGAGCCCGTGATTATGGTATCTCATACGTAAAATAAAACGAAATGAAAACGGAGTTAATATTATGTTGTGTTAAAACTAACATCTCACGTCGATTCACTACAAAACCACTTAACGACTACAAGGTTCTTTTAAAATCATTGAAATATATATATATTTTTTTTGTATAAAACACAATATTTTAATTTCCAAGAATAATATTTTTTTTATATTATGCATTTAAAGTTAACATTTACAAGTCTTGTTCTTGTTATTTTGATATCATGATGATATAAAAATAATAATAACAGTACATATATTTGTTATTGACAACCCTGTTGAATGCTCAGAAACAGGCTTTTGCATGAATTCAGCGATTCGACGCAGAACGTGGTTCCCACGGTTCAATAAAACCTCTTTATATTACATCCTGAGCTTAATTGTTGTGATTTCAACTCGCCAGACCCGTTTTCATGTTCGCGCACTTCCTATAGTAGGACAAATAGAAGCTAGCTCCTTAGAGGAGGCTCGTTTTTATTACCCAACGCCACAGATGGAGGTAATGTTTGATTTATGATTGGACTGAAAGATCTTTATGATGTCTTATTGTGGACTTTCCATATTATGTTGATTTGCATTTTCTACTAAACCCTAAAAACGCTGATAATTCTCTACTTTACCAACACTTTCAAGTATAGTCTATACCCGGATTCTTATTAAATTACTAGCGGACCCGACAGACGTTGTCCTGTCTACACGTCTTTAATTTGAAAATTTCAAACTTTTTTTAATAATTTTTTTGATGAAAATTATTATTCAAATTGTGAATCTAAACCATTCCCAGATCCCCTTGAACACACACAAAAAATTTCATCAAAATCGGTCCAGTCGTTTGAGAGAAGTTCAGTGACATACACACTCACAGAAGAATTATATATATAAAGATTGAAAATTCGACTGTGCTTGACACTTTTTTCCCCTAATAATATACAGGATAATGGCTGCTCAAATTAATATTTTTCACATTCCATAACTTTAGCGTTGGTCACGTTGTATTACAACATTGCCTTAACTTCGTAAAGAAAACCAGCAGTTTTAGTAGGGTTTCTTGTTAATGACAGATACCTATATATTTTTTTGTATTTCTATAAGAAAAATGAAATTCGCCGCATGATTGATGCTTCCTTTATTCGATTATCGTAACAAAATGTGAGGACACTGACATTTGGTAAATGACACCCCTCCAAGCCAGGTGGAGACGGCACGTGCGTTGCAACATCTGCCATCGGAAAAAACCTAAATAGTATAAGAATTATTATTATCTTTATTGCATACCTCTCTAGCGCATCTGCCGGCGTTCAAAGCCCTTTCATCAGCTGTAACCAACTTATTTACTCAATTTAATATGATACATTTTAAGTATCGGTAATAAGGTTTAATTTCGAATGTTTTGATATATTTCATTAAAATGCGAATAACGAGATAGATTTAATAGATAGCTAGATATGCTACTCTTTTTGGAAAGTTGATCCTGGCCTTACATATCGTCATCTGTATGACGAATTTAAACCGAAAATATATGAATAGATAAATCTGTTCCGTTTTTTTTATTTATAAGTATATGTATGTATTCAGCCCTTTTTAACGTCCTACTGTTGGGCACGGGCCTCCTTTCAATACGAGGGGGATCAGGCCATAGTCCACCACGCTGGCCAAGTGCGGGTTGGTAACAGTATGTATAGACACGTAAATAAAAATTGTGTCTAGACACGATATAGTTTTAATTCAACCTTTCCGCGAAGTTTTTGCGTTTCAAGCTTATTATTGAAGTGTTGCGAATAACCTTGTAAAAGTGTATTTACCTTATCTACTATAATGGCTGTGTAAAGCAAAAAATAATAAAGACAATTGTAATGTGAAACTGAATTTAGTACCTACTTATATAATTTGATAATATATAATTTTACTAATATAAATTCGAAATTTTTTTTGTGTGTATGTTTGTAGTCATTCACGCTGGATGGATTTGCATGAAATTTTGTATTTATATAATAATAATAAATATGTCAGGACATTAACACACAACGCCATCTAGTTCCATGGTAAGCTACGAGGCTTATGTTATGGATACTAGATACTTGATACATTATACATATATAACTTTAAATACATACATATTATAAATATAAACACCCATGACTGGAGTACAAACATTCGTGCTCATCACACAAACGAATACCCCCAGCGGGATTCGAACCTGCGACCGCTGGCGCAGCAAGTAGGGTCACTACAAACTGAGCCAAACATGTCGTCATATAGACGGGTGTAATACAAGGGCTACTGTTATGCACTAAGGAACGCACCCGAGTGAAGCTAGGGCCAATCACTTGTACTTAAATAAGTTACGTGGCTAAAAGTTTTCTTGTATCGATTTTCAGGATTGCCACGGTCTCGCGTTCGATGACCGCGCGGTCGCAGACGAGGTACAAAACTATGAGCTGATATCTGGCTATCAAAACGATACACACACGACTGTGGAATTCAGACGACAGTTAGACACTTGCGATCGACAGGACTTTGTCATTGGCGTAAGTATGAAAGTTTTAATGGGTATATTCGCTTTATATCGAAGCTTTCGGTAAATTTAATGTTATAGTTAAGTTATATTGTAATGGTCTTTGAACTCAGTTTTAGAGTATAACTTGATATTATCGTAAATGCAAATTTATATAAGATAAATCATAAACTTTGTTCTAAATGTATACATGTAGCAACTGTTTTCTAGTGAATGTAGTGAATATTTTTATTATAAACTAGCAGAACTCGCGGCTTCGCTCGCGCTAAAACTACAAAGAAATCTGTAAAAAGGTAGTTTCATACAAACTTTCATCCCTTATTTTACCCCCTTATAGGATGAATTTTGAAAAATGCTAAAAGACGTATTTAAAGGTAGTTTCATACAAACTATTTTACCCCCTTTTAGGATGAATTTTGAAAAATGCTAAAAGACGTATTTATTTAATTTGATTGAAGACCATTAATACCAAGTTTCAAGTAATTCTGACCACAATTTGTTTTTTGGTTTGTATTATAACGTGTCTTGCCTTGAGAATTAGATAATCTCCCGCGATAAAAAGTAGTCTATGTCACTCTCCAGCCCTCCAACTATCTCCACACAAAAAATTACGCCAATCTGTAACTATGTTTCGACGAGAAAGAAGGACAAACAAACAAACACACTTTCACATTTATAATATTAGTATGGATATAATAAATGATGCAAATTGCAAAAGAAAATTCAATAAATTTTTGTGTATATGTTTCGCGATATATTTTCCAATTATATAGGTATATACCATTCCCACGATTCTTCTTTTGATGAATAACTCTCATATAAACTTCAATAAAAATCTCAATTTCCACTAATGATTTAATTTCAAATTGTTTAATAAAATATTTTACTTTGTTGTTAATATTCTACAGGAAGATACAACTCAAGTTCTTTGGGCGTTAGGACCAGACGGTTCTGATGGGGAACTTCCAAGGCATGTAAATAGCGGCTCGCGACCACTACGCTTATTGCAGCCGATGTCAAAGCCGGAGTTCATTCCGCTGAAGCATTGGGATGTCAAGATACGTAATGTGAGTAATCATTATTTTGCTACGACTTTGATTATTATCTATAGATACATATAATAAAATTGTTACTAAGCCGAATCTGTACATTAAATATATTTTTGGAAAATCTTATTGAAATAGACATTATTATCGATACAGAGGCCGAATCTATAGTTTTAAGAATTTTTGTCTGTCTGTCTGTCTGTCTGTCTGTTAGCGCATCACGGAAAAATCACTGGATGGATTTTGATGAAATTTGATATGATGGTAGCTGGTTATCCGGGTCAACATATAGCATACTTTTTATTGCGGGAAAATATGTCATCTCTGAGAAATCTATACTAAACGTTAAAACGTACGTAGGGACGAACCCGAGCGGAGCGAGGGTGATTCGCTAGTCGGAAATAAAAATCATTTCTAGTCATGACTAGTCCGATAATATAGTCCTTATTGTTACCAATACTCAATCCTATAAAGTTTCTTAAGCCTAATTTAAGTGATAAAACAAAATTTATTATTCAGTTTCATTATGCAGTAACTAAAAATTAATATAATATAATAAAAAAAACCCAATATGTAATATAATAGACATACTCAAAAAGCTGATGCGGCGCTGTATGGTCGTATTATGGCACTTCATAATAAATAACTCTTGAAAGTTTCAAGTTCTTTCTTTCAATGAGAAACTATAGTTTATGAAAAATAAAAGGTATAATCTCTTTTATATGAGTACTCAAACAAGAAACCGAAAAGAAATAACACGAAACACTATCGCCGCATGTTTTTAATAGAAAATATTTATTACAGCTCACAATCCCTCACGTTATGGCAACATTATTCTGGTGTAAAGTATTCAAAGCTCCAGATTTACCGAGCAAGCACCATATAATTGGTTACGAGCCACTCATAGATAGCAGGCCTATCAGAAATGGGAAGCCAGTACAGGAAAAAAACAGTCTTTCTCCAGTACATCATATGGTTTTATATGAATGTGCAGAGGACCATGATAAAAGGCAATGGAATGAATGGGCAGAGAGTGATAACGACGGTTTCTTTGGGCCAAGTCGTCCAGGAGAGCTTGCAACGTGTGTCACGCCGATTGCCGCATGGGCTATGGGTTCCAAGGGTAAGATTTTATATTATGTGGCATTTTATGAATGGCTTTCTAAGTAATTAAAACATACATTAGCTGACCTGGTAGCAGGCGTTGTTCCGCCTGATATCATTTGGTCGGAAAAATTAAAAAATCTATATGTCAAAACAGCACCACCTATAGCTAAGAATTTTGGTAATGAATTTTATCAAAATTGGTTCCGTATAAGAGAAGAATTATGAACATACACGTACTAGAATTTTATATATAAATATTTTTGTTTTTCTTACTTGAGTCATTTTATTTCAACAGAAGAAAATAAAAAATAAAATACTTGTATTCATCTTTTTCGATAGCAAAGAGTTGAAACATTAATTGAAATCGTAACAATAAACCTAACACAAGGTATAAATAGAGATATTAATATATTAATTAATTTTACTTAAACAAAGTTAAGTTTAAATTGTTTTACTTTATGAGAAGCATTAGTATTCAATTAACTCAGTCCACGAAAGTTTTATCTAACACTAAAACAATTTCATTAGCCATTGTTATATCTAACTTTCATAAGTTGCAAATAAAAGCATAATTATTAAAACTTGACACAAATTATGCATAATTTATATGTATGTATATATATATATACTAGCGACTCACCCTCGCTCCGCTCGGGTTCGTCCCTGGGGTGGGGTCTGGGAGGACCACCCTTATCCTTATCACTTAGGGGTATGGAAAATAGATAGTAGCCGATTCTCAGACCTAACGAATACGCATATAAAATTTGGTAAAAATCAGTAAAGCCGTTTCGGAGGAGTACGGTAACAAACATTGTGACATGGAAATTTTATATATATGATATGTATATATATAGTCTCGCTAAAACTCAAAACGGCTGGACCGATTTGAATAATTCTTTTTTTGTTTTGTTTTTTGTTTGGTGGTTTAAAAATAAAAAAAATCCAAAAAAAAACCTGGAAATTCGAAAAGTTTAGAGAGATGTTTATTTTGTACGGGAATCACTAACCACTAAAACGTACCTAGCGAAGAACCCGAGCAAAGCGAGGGTGAATTGCTAGTTTTTCATATAAATTAATTAGTGTATTACTATTATTATGGCGGAATAGGTGACCCCATAGTACAAAAAAATTTAATCAAAATTGGTCAAGTAGTTTAAGAGGAGAAAAACACATATGTACTAATTATTTAGTGTGTAAGTGCCTGGGTCCCAATTCTAGCCTAAAATCAATGTTTATTGGCCTTATATTTGTCCTGATCTGAGTTAAAGAAGGCGCGGTATTAATACTATATCACACATTATACATATTATAAATGTGAAAACGGTATAGGTAGAGGCATCGATCAAAAAAGTTCTAAATACACAATCCCAGGCAAAAGTTCTCTTAAAACTGTCACCAATTGTGTTTAGGTAATTCTAGTTGAAATAAATATACAACAATGTAAACTCAACCTTAAATGCAATGCTTAAAGTTGTTTTCACAAAAAATAAAAATAAAAGTTCGCTCAAATGCTTAATAGAGCACTCATTCAGTGAGGACATTTTTTGTCGCTGATTGTGTATCTACTCTTTGTTTTTGTTCCGTAAATTCAATTATTCAACTAGATTGATTCGCTCAGGAAGTCAGACACGTACATATATAGCGTCATCAGTAAGCTCAAATCGTGTGTAAGGTAGTGCTAACAAGAGTCTCATTGTTTGTGGGAAAGCACCACATTCGCTCTCCTGGTTACCTAGTCTATATACAAATATAGATCCGAATATAATAAATTGAATGATACAATATTTAAATATTTTGTTTGAAGTATACTGAGATCTTCAATCAATCAGTAGAAGACACAAAACGACGACAGCTTTAAATTTCTGTAAGTTTTGCAAGTTTTGTGTCATTTACCCTTAACGTTTCATATAATGAAAACTTGCAAAATGCAAAATATAAAACAAAATGTAATTAAAAATAGTGCCCACGCAAATTACTCTAGAAATAATAATTTTATTTTAAACATGCAGAAATCGACTTCAACATGGTTTCCTCCACTGATTTAAAATTAAACTTTTGTATACACATCGTAATAAAACGTATAAAATATTTAAACTCAGACCAAACTTTTTTAACTATGACAATTTATATCTACTAATGCTGCCTACGCCTTGAATTTTACATCTATTCTGTCATATAGAAAATGTTTACTTCGAGAATGCAATTTCTGTCTTATAATTAAAGTTTTAGAGTTTAATTTTATTTGTTGATATTAATAAGTTAAAATCCTTGTTCACAGGTGAATTTCTGCCTGAGAATGTCGGCATCCCGCTAGGTGAGAAAGGAGGAGTCTCCTACTACATGTTAGAGGTTCATTACGACAATCAAGCGCTTCATGAAGGTAACTGATGTTTTAAGTGGTGTTATTTAAGGTAATATGTTAAGTATATTTATTAAATAATTCTGCCTTTTAATGCCCCACTCCTGGGTACGGGCGAATGGGGATGGGGATGGGGAGTGTTGGTTTTTGTATGAGATTGTATTGGATGAGGATGGTTAAGCCTTAAGACAAATGCTAGTTTGTAGACGTCACAATATGTCATTTGTCTTCATTGCGTGCAGTTTTTCCTATAATGTTGCCTAACAGCATAATCAAGTGGTGATCGTGTTGAAAGTGTTATGTATATAAATATCTCAGAGTCGCGAGTTCCGGGTTCGAATCCGCTTGTCTTCAGAAGCAAACACGAAGAATAGCGCTGCTATAAATATCATTACGTTAGTGTTATTAGGCTAAGTCTATATATGAAGAAAAAACGAATTCAAGACAGACTTTCTAATATAGATTACTGGTTTTCATGTTTTTAAGAAAACGCGTATGGCGTGAATCTTAAAGGTTTTTTGGTACGTATTTATGTTTAGATGGTCAGGTACCAATAAAAAGATCCTTTAAAATCTATCCATCTGTGAAATAGCAAGGCGCTTATACAATTTAATATATTATTCAGCCCTTTTAAGTTCCCGCTGCTAAACGTTCTTCCCTGTAATACGAGGTGGGATAGACTTAGTAGGCAAGGGTAGCAAGTTAGAGGACTTAACAGGTATTTCGATAGCTAATCGTTCTTTCAGACGTGCAGGTTTTCACAGAAAGTGTCCGCAAATGGTTGTAAGTCGGAAAATAATTCGTAGGTTCCCTTTGGTACCGTTCTAGCTTGAAAAACCAGTAAACGGGTTCAAACCCGAATCTCGAACCTCTGTGATACAAACTGACAGATTGAAAACTGTTTATTTTGTTTTTATTATAAAAATAGATACACCAAATAAGTACCTACATAAATATTTAATTATTCAATGCAGCCTTGAACCGGTTTTAATTTAATTATATCTTATAGAATACTAGCTGACCCGACAGACGTTGTCCTGTCTACACGTCTTTAATTTGAAAATTTCAAACTTTTTTTAATAAGCTAAAACATTCTGGACCATTTTGATGAAAATTATTATTCAAATTGTGAATCTAAACCATTCTCAGATCCCCTTGAACACACACAAAAAATTTCATCAAAATCGGTCCAGTCGGTTGAGAGAAGTTCAGTGACATACACACTCACAGAAGAATTATATATATAAAGATTTAATATTGTATGCTAAAACAATGTTTCTGCAACAATCGTCGTAGATTGTATGTTTGTTTCTAAATTGGGTAAATATTTGTATGGGCCCTTGAGTTATTTGTACGATTGTAAAAATATTATTATTAATCTTACACAATATCTTCAAAATGATCAGACGCTGCTTTTAAATTCTTTATATGTGATAGAATTTATTGTATACATGGTTGTATCTGTATTAATGGCAAACCATGTTATTTCTCATTGGTGAATTTCCAATTTTTACTTAGGTACTTCTACCAGGCCCAGGCGTAGGTAGGTTTCTCTAGATCGCAATAGGTTAAAACTTATTTATTATTACTGCAATAAAATATAATCTGTTACTATTGAATAATGTAGCTTACGAATCATTAATTATTAAAATCGGTTTTAGTGTTTATCGATTCCAAACAAACAACCAATTTTATAATATTTTCTCTTTATATCATTGATATATTATAAGTTTTTTATAATATATAGACAAACATTTTATTTTAGATAGTGAATTATAGTAGATAATATTAGGTAGTATAGATAAAGATTTTTTAAGTAGGGATTTTTAGTAATACCAAAAATATTTTTTACAGTATTAGATAACTCTGGTATAAGAATCCACTACACTCCATCACTACGACCTCACGACGCGGGCTTACTTGGCGCAGGCATCGGCGTGTCTGCACTACACGTCATACCTCCTAAACAACGTGCATACAGAACTATTGGTGTATGCAGCCCGGAATGCACTAATAATGTGAGTTTTATATTAAAAAGTATAAAGTACGTTTTAAGGTTTAATATAGATTTCTCAGAGATTACATATTTTCCCGCAATAAAAAGTATCCTATATGTTGACCCGGATACTCAGCTATCATCATACCAAATTTCATCATAATCCCTCCAGTGGTTACAGTAACAGACAGACAGACAGACAAAAGTTCTAAAAACTATAGATTCGGCCTCTGTATCGATAATAACGTGTATTTCAATAAGGTTTTCAAAAAATATTTAATGTACAGATTCGACTTAGATACAATTTTATTATATGTATAGACTAAATAATCATATTCTTAATGATTAATGTCAAGCTGAAACTTCACGAGTAGCTTCCTTTTGATTTATAAAATATGCATATCACACCGTAATACAAATAAAACGGTAAGATGTCTCGGTCCTACGCTCAGATACTGTCTCCCGAATGGTAATACGGCTAAAATAAACAAAATTTTGAGGATTACCGTTTTTACCAGTTCCTTATCAAACCTACATTTTTATATTATCGAAATTATATTATCGAATTTTTATATTATCGAAATAATATTACGAAAATTTTCGTACAGAAAAGTTGGGCGTCTCATCAAACAAATCTACTTGTGAATTGTACTCGGTCTACTGCAGACTAAAAACTCTAACAAATAATAATTATAATATGTATATTAACCGTACAATAAAAACCTAATCAAAATTCTAACCATTGTTTAATAAAAAAAAAAAGAAAAAAGTAAAGAAAAAAAAAGAGCTACAATGGACCAAAACCGGTCGACGTAGCTAGGGCCGACCTCGGCACCACAGACAACATAAATAATAATAATAAAGAAAAAAAATAACTTTTTTTATTTATAAAAAAATATGGGTTTATTAATTATTTTTACTTTATGTATATAATATGTACATAGGTAAATAAATAAGAATGGTTATGTAAATATAATATATTATATGCGTTAATGACAATGTACAATTATAATATCAATTTATTTACATTTTCGTTTAACTTTTTTACATTATAACGTCATTCCGCACATTTAAGTGTTATAAAATGTACTGAGCGTTAAAATTATATGTGGTAATTGTGCTGCACCGAGCTTTAAGGAAACCATTTATTTAATTAAACCCCTTCAGTTAGTTCCGAGATTATATTGAGCAAGGAAACAATGAGAGATGAGTACTATTTGTCTTTTAAATATCGTACTGGTATTTTTTTAAAATAGATACTCTTGTTAGTATTACTTTTATTATGAGTACATGACTTACCTTTGCTTGGATGCGTCCCTTGGTAAGCGGATTTTGTTCACAGTTTTATTGGTTTGAATTTTTTGTGCGGAACCCTAATTCTTTAAAAAAAATGTAGCCTAATTTACTATTTATAACATCAGCTACCCATCTTCTAGTGAAAGTCCTATCAAAATCGGTCCAGCCGTTTCGGAAATTAGCCGGAACAAACAGGGCAAACATTTAAAAAAGTTTTTTTTTGAATACCGTATGTATACATTTTCGTATGCATTTAGTAAAAAGCTGCTATATTGGCATTACAAATAGACATTTCTATTTTATTCATTTGCATAGAAAAGTTGGGCGTCTCATCAAACAAATCTACTTGGGAATTGTACTCGGTCTACTGCAGACTAAAATCTCTTACAAATAATAATTATAATATGTATATTAACCGTACAATAAAAACCTAATCAAAATTCTAACCATTGTTTAATGAAAAAAAAGTAAAGAAAAAAAATACAACTTTTTTTTATTTATAAAAAAATATGGGTTCATTAATTATTTTTGTTTACTTTATGTATACAATATGTACATAGGTAAATAAATAAGAATGGTTATGTATATATAATATATTATATGCGTTAATGACAATGTACAATTATAATATCAATTTATTTACATTTTCGTTTAACTTTTTTACATTATAAAGTCATTCCGCACATTTAAGTGTTATAAATGTACTGAGCGTTAAAATTATATGTAGTAATTGTGCTGCACCGAGCTTTAAGGAAACCATTTGTTTAATTAAACCCCTTCAGTTAGTTCCGAGATTATATTGAGCAAGGAAACAATGAGAGATGAGTACTATTTGTCTTTTAAATATCGTACTGGTATTTTTTTTAAATAGATACTCTAGTTAAGTATTACTTTTATTCTGAGTTACTTGACTTACCTTTGCTTGGTAACCCTTGGTAAGCGGATTTTGTTCACAGTTTTATTGGTTTTAAATTTTTTGTGCGGAACCCTAATTCTTTAAAAAAATAAAAGTTGCCTAATTTACTCCTTATAACATCATCATCATCTTCCAGTGAAGGTCCCATCAAAATCGGTCCAGCCGTTTCGGAAATTAGCCGGAACAAACAGGGCAAAAATTACATTTTCGTATGCATTTAGTAAAAAGCTGCTATATTGGCATTACAAATAGACATTTCTATTTTATTCATTTGTATTGATAAACGATAAAATCTTGACATGAAGTAATTTCTAAGACATATCTGTGCAAAGTCTCTCCAAAATTACTTAGCTATGATTAAATATTAAATTGATTAAATTAATAATGCTAATAAGTTAGGGTTCAAAGATTGTTTTGGAGATTGGACTACTATTACAAGGCGAAAGTATGTATGTGTGGACGGATTCGATGTGTAAGATACACAGATAAAACACATATATTTTATCTAAGTTATCATACTCGTATGTATATTATATTACCTAGAGCCCCGACCGATGCGAGGTTAAATCGCTAGTATATTTATAATTTAACTAATTTTATTTTGTAATACTAGCGATTTAACCTCGCTTCGTCCCTAGATCCCAAATTTATCCCACGGGAACCGTACATTTTTCCGGGATTATATATAGCCTATAGTCTTCCTCAATAAACGTGCTATCTAATACAAAAAGAATTTTTCAAATCAGATTAGTACTCCCTGAGCTTAGCGCTTTAAAGCAAACTTTTTTAGAAACTAAGGACACGCCTCGCTTTACAGCAACTCTGTATTATATTTTATATACTATAGGATACTGCTATAATATATTTTTCTTTATTTAAATGTAAATTTGATTATGATTTAAGATAATAATCGTTACAATTTAAGTCTATTTCATAAGAATTTATGGGTCTGTAGAGACACGTGGGTAAATTAATTTATTTCAAAAGCAACGATTAAATTTCCTTTGAAAGTAAATAAACCAACACACGAGTGTGTGTATTTAATTCCCAAATCTCAATTTTCATGCAAATAACTAAATTATCTTCATATTTAGAAGTTTCATCATAAATTGCGAACTACCGTTCAACGTCGCTACAAATGGATTTTGCTTCAACTATCATGCATATTTATGGAGCCAATTAGAGGCAAAGTTAAGCGTAAACGCTTATACATAATCATAACTTGAAAACGTGTGTGTGGACACTGTTTAACTGTTATAATCTTTCTTGACTTTTGTAATACCCATCGTGGTTTAATACGAGGATATATATCAGGCATTAAAAATAATTGACGACGTTTGGTTCAATTTGTAGTGACCCTACTTGCTTTGCCAGCGGTCGCGGGTTCGAGTCCCGCTTTGGGCATACATTTGTGTGATGAGCACGAATGTTTGTAATATGTATTTAAAGTTATAATTATGTGAAGTGTATCAACTATCCGGTATCCATAACACAAGTCTCGTAGCTTACCATGGAACTAGATGGTGCTGTGTGTTAATGTCGCAACATATTTATATTTATTTATAATTTGAATTCATATACATAGGTAGAGATTTAATATGTAGGTTTTAACAGGTTAATGATGCAATCAATTAGACATGGGCAATGCGTTTGGTATTGTTTTGGGATTTTCAGATCAAAAAAATAAAATAAATTCCCAAAACTGAATGATAATTTTTTTTCAATATCATTATATATTTACTTAATTAAGACTTACAATCTATTGTTTCATTGCTAATAATATTATAAAATAATTACATGTTAATTAATTATTAGCTTCGTTAAACATATTTATAATCTGTGTTGGAATAAAGCCAAATTGACACACGCATTGTTATGTTTGTTTTAGACAATTATTGACGATAACCATATTTTATCTTAACATGTAATAAAATAATTATTCATATAAAAAGTAACAAAGATCTAACTTAATATATATTAGTAAACAATTTACATTAATAAGAACATTCAATCAAAATTACGTTTTTTCTTCTGTACTTAAAAGTTAAGCATATATATGCAATACTCTAGTAATATATTTAGTACCAAATAATAAACCTCAGTGGTTTTTAATGTTAGATTTATTTAAAAAAATATGTAAAACTTTTAATGATAATAAAAAACTTGTGGTTACAATTTAGCCTCAATGTGTTCCGTACTTAATTAATAGAATATTCATATGTACATATGTTCGTTTAAAATTCAAATCAATAATATTATCATAAAACACGTTACTTACAGCTATTTTTATTCCAGACTATGCCAGAGGAAGGAATCAATATTGTATCAGTGCTGTTACACGCTCATGGAACCGCTCGAAAAATTTCATTAAAGCACATTCGAGGCACGGAAGAACTTCCCAGAATATCCGAGGTAAATATATATTAAAATATAGCAGCGCCACCTATTGAGTTGTAACACAAATATTTAGTTATTTAACATTATAGTATTACACCTTTTGGATAGATGGCGCTGCTAGTAATTTTGATAATAGTACAGTTATAAAATATTAAATGGCGTTACTATAAAGTTTAATTAAATTAATTCAAAGTTTTGTCTATAGATGGCGTTATTTTAATATTCTTCAAAGTAGTTCCACATTATGTCAATAGATGGCGTGGCGCTGTCACTTATCTATTTTATTCAATGAGTTATTGTTTCGTCTAAATAATACAAGATGTCGCTTATTGTTCTGCTTAGTGCTTCAATGTAAAATTGTAAATTACAAATTGTATACATATATGTTATGGTACATCAATAACTTAATTATTTTTACAAGTAACGTAATAAAAAATATTGTACAAGAGGAGGAATATGTATGGAGATTCATTATTTTTTTCTTAATCTCACCGAACTTTACATTACAAAATATTACAAAAATTGCAAAATAAAGTTGAATTGTGGACTTAATTATATATTATTTCTAACATAGTTATGTATCAAATGTTGTAAGAGAAAAATTATTGAATGTAGAAAACAATGTTGCTAAAATAGAATTTTTAATATTCAATAGGAAAATAGCTACGACGCCCGCTATCAGCAATCCCGGATAGTTCCCGGAGGAAGGAGGTTCTTTAGAGGCGACACAATGATCACTGAGTGTACTTACGACACAACGTCACGAGATAAGCCCACACTAGGTGGCTATTCTGCGACACAGGTTAGTCTATAATGTTTATCCTGTGATAACTAAGTATTATGAAACTTCTAGAAAGTTTTCTTTTTTAGAGAACAGATTAAAAATATTTTTTATGATGACAATTATATTACATATAGAACTAGCGATTTACTCTTTCTTTTCTTGTGTGCGTTCATGTCTTTGGTGCGTTATGTACGTTTTAATTTTTTTGGGCGGAACCTTAATTATTCTTTTTAATATAAAGTAAATGTAGCTTAAGTTACTACTTACTTGTAACATGAGCTATCTGCCAGTAGTCCAGTTAAAATCAGTCCAACCATTTCCAATTTAGCCGGAACAAACCGACAGACATACAGACAAACTTTAAAAATTCTATTTTTCTTATAAGTACCGAATATAATTTCATATGAATTTAGTAAAAAGCTGTTATTTTGACATTACAAACAGAAACTTAACAAAAAATTAAGGAATTTATAAAATTACTTATTTTTTTTAAATATGGGTATTTGTATGTATAATAACAAATATGTCAAAATAATTAGTAAAATATTACTGACTGAATAAAAAGTTTTTTATATTTTTTAAACATAATAAATGAACAAAAATATTGGTAGGTGGATTTGTTTAATAAAACAATAAAAATCTTCTACTAAGACATTAATTAAAATATAGCCTTATTTTTTATTATTTTTATTATTCATTTTAATCAGTGTTTCTTTTTGTTTTTCTTATTTTCATTGTGGTCTGCTTCATATTTGTATTGCTTAATTTGTGGAAACTTCATTGGTTTATGTGTTATCTATTATTATTAATTATTTATGTAATATTGTACTGTTTGTTTCCCTAAAACAAATAAATAAAAAAAATAAAAAAAATATTTATTACATATAATGTATTTTTAACTTTCATAGGAAATGTGCTTGTCATTCGTGCTGTACTACCCTCGCACGGAGCTCGCCGGCTGCTACTCGATGACGCCTGTAGTTGAGTTCTTCGAAACGTTCGGCGTTAAAGAATTCTACGGCCTTAGTATGATCCAAGTTGAAAACATATTTTTGTTCTCTGGGTAAGTTTAGAAATCATAAAGCTATAGATATTTAACTATACATATAATAAAATTGTAACTAAGCCGAATCTGTACATTAAATATTTTTTGGAAAATCTTATTGAAATAAACATTATTATGGATACAGAGGCCGAATCTACAGTTTATAGAATTTTTGTCTGTCTGTCTGTTTGTTACTGCATCACGGAAAAACCACTGGAGGGATTTTGATGAAATTTGTTATGATGATAGCTGGTTATCCGGGTCAACATATAGGATACTTTTTACCGCGGGAAAATATCTCATTTCTGAGAAAAAATATAAAAACTGCAATGTAAGAGTATATTAATATGTAAAACCTAAGAATTTGGTTTTTGGTCATCTGAAGGCGGACGGAGCCGCGGGCAATGCTAGTTATTTAATATTATTTCTAATATGTTAAAGCTTATCATGTTTTTTTTTACACTCCAGACATGAATTTTATTAAACTATATTATAAAATAAACATTTATATCAATTTTTAGCTATAAATACTTTAAAAGTAGAAAATGAAAATAGAAAAACAGCTTAGGCAAAACCTTTTAACTTAATCTTCTTTTAAAATATCTTTTCTTACTTTACTATTTTAACTAATGCAAGTGGAGTTTTTGTAAAGGTGTAACATATTATAATATATTTATATTAAATTATTTTTTAATAAAAAAAATTACCTATCTAATACTTTTAAACGAGCGATTCTTGTATATTTATTTATTTACATATACCGGCGATCTCGGTAACGGCACTAACGATTTCGCAGAAATTTGGTATGTGGGGGTTTTCGTGGGCGAAAAATAGATCTAGATTAGTCTTATGTCTGGGAAAACGCGTATTTTCGAGTTTTCAGGCGGTTTTATTTCGCATTGTTCCACGCAAAATATGGTCGGTAATTTTGCACGCTCGGGCATAAGATTGACAATTACAAGTGACCGAGCTCGAATCCCGGACGGATACAAAGTTTTACTTTTGTTTTTTTGTTTCTTTTTGTATTTATTCAAGTTTTAGGGTTTTTTAACCAAAAAAATACGATATTACAAAATAAGAACTCCGATCGAAGTTCGGTCGCCCAGGTGCTACTATATTAAATATAATAAAATGAATATAAAATATTTAATAATTTGTTTTTTTAATTACAGCATTGATGGTCTAAGTCCTGAGCTCGAAGCGGTTATAAAAGAACAAAGCGAAAAAGAAACAGCAATGCAAGGAGACGACCAAGGAGTTGGCTTGATGAGTAAGTACTTTCACAGACACAATACTAGCAAAAACTCTATGGTCTAGTGATTAGCATAGACAGCTGCAGATTCGGACTTCCCAGGTTCGAATCCCAAGTCGAGTCAAGTTTAGTTATTGAGTTTTCCTGTTAAGAAATTTAGGTTACGTCACTTAAACTCTCGCTTCCCCCGGATTCGTCCATAGATATCTTTTTTTTTCATATAAAAGTTGACTGTCAAGAATTATGATAACTTTAAATGAAATTTAAAGAAAAATATAACAAATACATTATCTTACTTATTACTTTTCAAACTGTTAAGGCACCGTTTGCCAACAAAGCAACTTGAATACCATTTTTCTTTAAATTTCATTTAAAGTTATAATAATTTCTGACAATCAATTTTTATATGAAAAAAATTAGTCCATAGCATTCAGCGATAGTTTTAGTAGCGATAGATTGTTAGTTAGTAGTGTGTAGTGTGTAGAATTTTCATAATCCAATCGGTAGTTTCAGACATAACATACACACTTACAAAATCTATCTCTTTATAATATTAGTGTAGAATGTATACATAATATGTAACACCATGTTAAGTAAAGTCGACATATTTGTTATTTCAGAGGGTCTAGTCATAAAGGAGCCTACAGAATTCCGAAACAAAACGTTCATGGCGCATTTGGACGAGATGCCCTGGTACGAGCCGCTGTTCACTGACAAAATACAAAAGACGTTATACACCGTCTGGTACATGACCTTCTGTAAGAAACGCGACGACAGCTGGGGCTCTGTGAGTATATGGAAATGGCACTAAATGGAACTTTTATTAGTAGTGATAAATTACCTATACATATAATAAAATTCTAACTTAAAAATCTTATTGTTATAGACATTATTATCGATACAGAGGCCGAATCTATAATTTTAGAATTTTTGTCTGTATGTCTGTCTGTGACCAGAAAACCACTTCTATTGGGTAAAGACTTCCAATAATTATTTTTCTCAAATATATTCCATGTACAGACAGCAATCAGTTACAATTTTATTATATGTACAGATTATTAAGCTATTAATTTGGTGATATCCAACTATTTCACAGTTCAAATGATAGAACGGGGTGTTTAGGTTAATTATAACGCATCTGTTTGTACTGGGAAATTCTGATAGACTTAATTAGGCTTTGCGGTTTTAGTGGGCCAAGCAATATTGCGTATTCCGCCAATTTGCTTACAATATTGTATCAGAATCTTAAACCTGATATTGTTATTTAATATATATTAATAACTAGCGAGTTACCATCGCTTTGCTCGTGTGCGTCCGAAGTGCGGTTTTCATTTTTTTGCGCGAAACCCTAATTCTTTTTCTAAAAAAAGTAGCCTAAGTTACTCCTTATAACACCAGTTATCTGCCAGTGAAAGTTCCGTCAAAATCGGTCCAGCCGTTTTAATATATATTTTTCTTCTTTCAGCCAATCCAGATATTAAGCTATCCGAACTACACTGCACTCACGAGCAACGAAGCATCCGAAAAGTCTTGCAACTACAAAAGTGTGATATTGCCTTCAGTTACAAGTACTTCTGGTTCTAGCATAAACAAAATTTCAGCCATTTTGACTGTATGCCTCTTGATCATTCTCACACGGTAATGAATACTAAATATGAAACCAATTTCTATTATAAAAAATGTTGTTTCTTTTAGATTTTTTATTTGCAAAACTGTTAGTAGGAGATTTCGATCTATGTGTTGGACCCTCACTCTTTTTCCAGGCGAAATATATATTTCAAACAATAAAACATTAACAAACACGACCCAGGCAAAAATTTGCTCCAGGCTATTTTTAATAAAAAAAATAAAAAAAATGTTTTTTTTTTTAATGTACAAGGAATCTTTTCCTGTGACAACTTAATATCAATCGAAAGTAAAAGACTTATAAAAATATCACTACCTGAACCTAGTTATTTGCTCGTATCATATCTTCCGGAACCAACTTAGTATCAAAATATAAATAATTTTATTACAAATTGAATGTTATAGGGTTGTTATACCATAAAATCTCCAGAGTGGAACCTCTACTTTTAATTAAAAATAGCCTGGAGCAAATTTTTTGGTCGTGTTTGTTAATATACCATACACGTATACCATAGCATAAAACGGTTCAAAAAATACATTTCGCCTGGAGAAGGAGAGAGGGGTCCGCACATATATCGGCATCTTAGACTATATTGTTTTCAATTTTGATACGTTGTGACATTAATAATACATTTAAATTATTATACTGTCGGAATATTTATTATCTGTGGATAATATTTTTGTTATCTGTGAGTGATTTTTTTTTAAATTCTTGGAACAATTAATTGTAGAACGCTAGTTTTGGTAATTCATGCTATGAATTACATACATGGATGGATTTTTCTGAGAAATATTTTGTGATTTTTGTACTTACCTTTTGCTCAGGGAATATCAAAGTTGAAAGTCCAAACGTTTTTCGCGTGTCATAGTCGACGTTATTTTTTTTTTTTATAAAAAAATACCAATTTTTTTCTTACATGTTATATATTTTTTCTTCTAAATATGAGAAGATTCTGGTACTAATTAAAGTAATATCTCACATAATCATTGTTTTAAATAACGATACCAAAAATACGGTATTAATATTTTCTTTTTTTTTTTACTTTCCTGGATGGAATTGAGTTAGAAATTATTATTTTTCAACGAAATTCATTTCAATGAAGTTCCTTTTGATGAAAGAGGCATTGTGAAGTCAGCTTGTACATATCCACTACAGATTGTAGGCGTAGAATAATAGGGACGGTAGATTACCTACATTTTTATATATATATATTACTCTCATGGTTCATTAAAAATGATCAATTTCTTATAATGTATTAAGATTTCAAGAAGGCTGTGCTTAGGCCTAATTTTCTAACCAAAATATTTTGATAGAATTTTTAATGGGTTTTCTTATATTATTTCAATGCAAATATATGTAGAGGTTGTTATAGAAATAAGATTTTCGATCAAATTTGAGTCATTCTGTTAGATTTAACGATGCATTTTGCTATTTTAGTGTATACCTCTCTAAGGCTAGCTGTAAGAATACGCTTAGTATTAATTAAGGTTTATTTATTTAAAAGTCAATATAATGTGTTTTATTACTTGGTATGTTTGTTTTATTTCTAGTTCACTACACATAAACAGAATCAGATCTTCATCAATTTTTTAAGAGACCAACTTAAGTTACTACCTTTCAAATACAAAAAAACCATCGAAATTGGATGTCATGAGGCGGAGATATTCCATAGCCCCCTTTTTGAAGGAAGTAGTTTTTTTAGAAAAAAATTTAATTTAAAATTTAAAAAATTTTTTATTTAATTTAATAAATATAAAATTTTAAAATTAAATATATTAAGGGATAAGCTTTAATATAAATATTTATAATAAAAATAATATAAATATTTATAATAAATAAAATTTTAGTACCCCCTCCACGCGAAAATCCCCGACGACAAAAACTGTGAAGTCAAAACGTATACCAAATTTCGTTAAGATCGTTTGTAAAATACGACTCTGTAGTACCAACAAAACTGACACAGGAAGGCAAATTTTGCCAGACTTGAAGCAGAGACGCTTCAAGTTTTAAAAAGAATTAAATAAATAAAAATTGAGGTATTATTTTTATTTCTCAAAAATCCTATATAAATTTAACTAATATATAAATAAAATTTACCTTGTTCTTTAAAGAAAGCAAACAACCTATTATGTACTATGTACGCTACTGTATTTGACTTCGACATTTATTATGGCGGAGTCCCTCTATATAATTCTTTAAACTGAGGTCGTACTTATATACTTTAAAAAATATGTATCTATATAATAAATATTATATAAAATAAATAAAAAGGTTGTTCTTAATTACAAACTATATTGTTAAAAAAAACAATGTTTTTGTTTTAATTAAAATCTAATGTATCTCTTACTGCTTCTGTAACTTTGACGATTGACTTGCGCATTACTTGTGTTTTGATTACTTATATTTTGATTACTTGGATTTTGATTACTTGCATTTTGATTATTTGAATTTTGATCATTCGAATTTTGATTATTTGTATCAAATCGGGAACTAAGATCAGAGCTCGGTGCTACATTTTGGCTCGCAGCAAGTACCCCTTCATCGGTGAAAGAGTTAGGTCGTTGTTGATATGTGACTGGATTTTTTCTGAGATCTTCTAGAGCTTTCCAATTTATATACCAGAAAGGCTGTTGATCTACAGGCAATTTACTTATACGTTCAACTAAATCCCGATCGCCTCTTGCTTCGATGGGTAAAACCAAAGGTGTGTCATCTCCGAATCTGTAAAAAATGTGTTTTAATTATTATTATTGAAAATGTGTTAGTTGTTTAATTATTATTGTAGTTAAAGTAGAAGACCAAGAACTAAAATCCGGGTCTAGGACCTCTGACATCTACGTGCGAATTATCAACATGATTACTTGCAAATACGGTTTGAGAGAATCAATATTGTTCTCAAAAGACATGTACAGTCTAGTCTAAAGAAATGTATATGACCAGATCCCCCTCGTATTGAAGACATACCCAGCATTGGGACGCTAAAAAAGGGCTCAAAAGGGTTTAAAATTTAATACTTACTATATACTAATAGACACAAACGTGTTTTTTACAAGGCTAAAGCTATATGGGACTTGGTACAAATGATCATAATTAAAAAGAAAAAATAATAATCGATAGCTATTTATACACACATTACGTGACATCACGAATGCTTTAAAATTTTAAAACACAGATATTGCCATATAAACCCATATTTGTACAATAAAACCCCGTAAAATAACGTCAATCGGATATCGAAAGCTGCACGTTTTATAGACACAAAAATCTAATAACTTTAAAAGCCCTTGTTAGCTTTAAGTCGACGCATAATTATCTAGTAGTTGAAACTCTTATTCAATTATTGAATGGTTATTATTAACCTCAGTACAATATTAATATAATGTATTTATGTAAGATTTGTTTTTTTTAACATATACTTCTTTTGGCACGTTTAGAAAAAATATAAGAGTAAAATCTTTACGAAGCGCGCGCATACCGACAGCCAAAAAGCGACATTATGAAGTTAGCTGCATTCCTTTTACAAACAGAGAGTTGTGGCAAACGGGATGAAATCTTTAGCTACATTTGTTCTGTTAAGCCAAAGAAGTATAACTTCTTACGTGCGTACATAAGTACAGGCACACGTCTTTTTTGTTTTTTTTACAATTATTTTTATAACGGTAAGTGCTAATCTCACGTAGTCGTATATCGTCGTATATCGTAGTTGAATGCGTAAGCGATCCTGCGACGCCCCATTAACACGGGAAGTTTTTGTTGGGTTTTAGTGGGTAGTACTGGCTTTGCCGGTGAGTCCCACACCTCGTGCGTAAATGCATTTCCTAACGTTAAAAAAAGTGCTAATCTGTTCATATGTAAAACCCAAAACCCTTGAATTAGATTAATGATAGCTTGGAACGGGGATTCCCAGCGTGACATTGTATTGTAAATACTTATTTATTACCTGTTTCCAAGTTCATCTGCAGGTTTGATGATTTCAGGAAATCCAATCGGTTTGGAACCAGCAAACGAAGGTCTCTGTCCAGACACTAGCCAGACAGATGCTACCAATAAAAATGCTTGCTTAAAGGCCATCGTCTGAAAAGTTTTATATGCAAATATATTAGAAATTATTTATAAATTTTATTATAATATATGGGTAAATATAATATATATATTATAAGTAAATTATTCACAACAATTGTACTCATTAGTATTCTGTTTGAAAATATCTAAATTTTGGTATAAAATTGAAGCAACTTATACAGAAACTTAGCAACGAGTATTATATAATGACTAGCATTGCCCGCGGATCCGCCCGCGTTCAGATGATCAAGAACCAAATTCTTAGGTCTTACATATTAGTATACTCTTACATTGCAGTTTTTGTATTTTTTCTCAGAAATGAGATATTTTCCCGCGATAAAAAGTATCTTATACGTTGACCCGGATAACCAGCTAACATCATACCAAAATTCATCAAAATCTGTATAGTGGTTTTCTCGTGATGCAGTAACAGACAGACAGACAAAAAATCTAAAAACTATAGATTCGGCCTCTGTATCGATAATAATGTTTATTTCAATAAGATTTTCCAGAAAATATTTAATGTACAGATTCGAATTAGTTACAATTTTACTATATGTATGGATAAGCAACGATAATCAGAAATCCATGTCATGTTTGCATTTTTAAAGTCACATAAATTATATATAGACAGGTAAGCAATTATCCTTTTTTAAATGGTATAGTATTTGGCTCAGTTTGTAGTGACCCTACTTGCAGTGCCAGCGGTCGCGGGTTCGAGTCCCGCTGGGGGCATTCATTTGTGTGATGAGCACGAATGTTTGTACCCCAGTCATGGGTGTTTATATTTATAATATGTATTTATTTAAAGTTATATATGTATAGTGTATCAACTATCTGATATCCATAACACAAGCCTCGTAGCTTACCATGGAACTAGATGGCGCTGAGTGTTAATGTCCCCAACATATATTTTTTTAATTTATTTAATAGTATAAATCGTAGGTACTTATTAATGTTAGAATAATTCAGTTGTAAAAATAATTTACGTGACTCATTTTTCCATAAAAGTCCAATTTTGTGGTGAAATGCAATACATATATAGTAAAATAATTTTTAAGCTTATAGATCTGTTTACATAATAACTATTATATATAAGTAAATTTGTGATTTGATTTGTTTTTGGATAAGACCCTTAATTTATGTGGATGCTTTTGCTAAAGAGAGAATTTTTTTTATTATTCATACTATACATATATACTAATAATAAATAATTGTGTGTAAAAGAGTGCTATTTTAAATATTTGTTCGATTTAATTATCGAAAGATACTTTAGTTTATAAATGAAATAAATAAACATGACGACCATTTTTATAGACTTAAAGCTTGATATTTTTCACTATACATTTAAGGTTCGAGTCTCGGAGTTTGAATCATTCAAGTAGAAGCCTGCGAAGGTTATATCGTATTGGTTTTCCTCAAGATCTTCATTATAAAATAACTTGCAGTACTCATTTTCAAGTACAAGACACCTGTTAGCTGTTTATATTTATTTAGTGTACCTCTTATATTGTACATATATTGAGATTATCTTATCGTTGACCGGCCATAATACAGGAAATTCAATTTGTTTTACATTATATGTATTTATTTTTCGTTTTAATGTATGACGACACGTTTAGCTCAGTTTGTAGTGACACTACTTGCTGTGCCAGCGGTCGCGGGTTTGAATCCCGCTGGGGGCTTTTATTTGTGTGTTGAGTATGAATGTTTATACTCCAGTCGTGGATTATATTTATAATATGTATGTATTTAAAGTTATATATGTGTAGTGTATCAACTATCTGGTATCCATAACACAAGCCTCGTAGCTTACCATGGAACTTGATGGTGCTAAGTGTTAATGTCCCAATATATTTATTTAAATATATATGAATTAAGATTAAACTTGATGTACGAGTAAAGAGTAGTCACGTGACACCCAGCCCTACTATAAATAATTGTATACATAATGATTATTATACAAATAATTTAAATTTAAAAAAAACTTAAATAAACACGCATTCGATGACCGCAGCGTGAATGAATCAAACGAGAAAAAATCTAAGGCTTTACTAGCTATTGTAGAGTTCCACTACTTAAATTCTGGCTCTATTATCGATTTTATTTGTAATACCTACAACAATTGTACTGTTGAATCTTTTTAATTTGAATCATGTTAGAATCAACTCTTGTAAAGTCATTTTTTTAAAATGCATTATATCCACTAGGGTATTCTGCTTAACTTACTATTTACTACCAAACAACAGCTCTACATAATGACTAACAAGGAATTTCCTATAAATAACCCAATTATTCTATTAATAATGTATAATGTATTCTATAAAGTACCTACTTCCTGTAATAAAAAGTAGATACCTTTTATTACAGGAAGTACTTTTCCAATGTGGACCCGAGTAATAAGTTATCACTAGGCATTTAGTTAAAATCTGTTTAGTAGATACTGTTTGCGTGAAATGCACACAGACATACAGACAAAAAATTCAGTAACTATTGTTTTGGGGTCTATATTCTATACAGGACACGTAATAGTAGTTTTTTTATTAATTTTTCATGTGCAGATATCGCTTTGTTATTATTTTATGTGTTATATGCATATAATAATATATGTGTCGCTTACATTTTGAACATATAAGTAGATATTATAACCTAAAACTAAGTTCTATCATATAAAGAAGCTTTTGAGTGAATGTTTCATAGGTTTACAATTTGTTGTATGTTATTTCATGGAAAATACGTTATTTTCATTAATTCAATTCCATCCATCTAGTTCCCATCTAACTTTAATAAATTGATTGATCAGAAAAGTTTTTCCATATTTATAGGCCGTATATTTTTACTTCTATCAGAATTAGAATATATTTTATATATAAGAAATATATTTTATGCGTATTTGTTTATTCGTGTGCCTATTGACTGAGTGTTTTTCGAATGAATTTAACAGTTTCTTTTTTTTTTTTTATTCCAAACTGAATTAGTGCTTGACTACGTTCCACCGGATGGTAAGTGGTAACGCAGTCGTTGATGGTAAGTCGCACTAATTCAGTAGCCACCTATTCACTCTTGCCTTGAAGACTCCCATATTATAATCGGACGGAAACACCGACGCAGGCAGGTTGTTCCAATCCTTAGCCGCACGTATAATAAATGACGTAGCGAAACGCTTCGTCCGGACTGGTGGAATGTCCACGACATAAGGATGGAGACCAGCCGTTCGTCGGGTTGTCCGATGATGGAAAGGAGATGGGGGAATTAATTGAGTATTTTATTAGTTTCATTTATTTTGTGATAAATTTGTTTGTTGTAGGTAGTTTCAGTAAAATATAAATGAAAGATATGATTAGTTAATACTTTCTTAGAAATTATACTTAGTTATATACGTATTAACATAATTATTTTATTATTTAGATTTTAGAAGCTTTTGCCCCCGACGTTACACGCGTGGGAAATATATACGAGTATGTACGTCGAAATACATATATATATATTTATATATATATATATATATATATATATTCTAAATTTCATTTAAAGTTAAGCAGTTATAGCGTGAAGAAATAACATACACTTCGGTTCAATACAATCCTAAGTGTAAGCAATTCAAATGTTTTATTATCAGCCTATTTAAATACGTGAATCATCGTAGATATCAATCATCATAACAAAAGTAACGTGAGCAAAAAATTGACTCACTGCAAATTGGACTATCGCAAAGGGTTCCATTCAACTATACAATAAAATAATTACAGTTGCGAGAAAAACTGGGTAATATTAGTCTTTTTGAGTGTATTTTAATATATTAATATATATTTGTGACTTAATATATAAGATTTTAAAATAATAATAAAAAAATTAATAATATAACAATTATTTTTATCTATTGAAAATATGTTAGGAACGCATCCGAGCAAAACAAGGGTAAGTAGCCAGTACTAATATTACCTATAACTAGCGACTCACCGTCTTTTCGCTCGGCCGTAGGTACATTTTAACGGCTTACTATTAAATACAAATCTTTAAATTTCTCGGCTGTTCTGTACTCTAATATGCATGTATTATACATATAAACCTCCCTCTTTAATCACTGTATCTATTGCTGAAAATTTCATTAAAATCCGTTGAGTACTTTAAAAGATCTAAGCGAACAGACAGCAGAAGGGATTTCATTTTATACTATGTAAAGATATAAAGTTAAAGTAACCACATATTTATAAAAGCAATCTGTTATTATATATATGATATGATACAAAAATAGATTTGGCTTATCAAACAATTATGTACAGTTCGCCTTTTATTATTCGTTGTTAAAGCTAATTCCAGTTTAAGCTTTTGTTTAAGTTTGTTTTGTCATAGAACAGCACAATATTAAGTTAATTAAATTTACATATAACATATAGTAAGGTAAAATATAATACAGATATAGTATATATAAATAAGATTATAGTAATAAAATATTGAATAAAGAACTCACAGTTTTGTTCCTTAAGCACAAGAGACTTGTAACACGACACAGAGGTAACTGGTTTATACTAAAACCGATACGATGCAAAAACAGCGTCAGGAAAAACCTCGGGTCAAGAGATTGTTTGATGGATGCTTATTTATGTTTAATTATCTTTGTCGGGTTTATATCACTTATATGTTGGAGACGAAAGCCAATAATATTATTTTTATATGACTCACATATGTAAGTGGTAACTAAATTATTATTATTTTGTTTGTGTGGTTGTACTTTTCTTACCTAAACTAACGTTTACCCATGTCTCTTCTCGTTTTATTTCAATAGCCAATATAATATATATAAAATGTATATTATACATTTTATATAATATGTTGGTCACAATAGTCCACCATGGTGACCACGGACTTCACTAGACTCTCAAAAACTAGGTAGACCCCTTCAAACACGTAGGTTTCTCATGAAATTTTCAGATAATACTTCCTTAGATTTCCGCGAATATTTGACATTTTAAATAAAATTATCTTTTCAGGTTTTTTTTTGCGGATTTACTCACAGGAGAGACCATGAGACGTGAACATAATTGCTGTAACGCATTCGAAACGTCAGGAACCACAAAATCAAAATAAATACGCAAAAACATCCGTAAAGATTTTATTTAAAATCTCAGTGTTCACGAACTTGACTTTCCAAGCAAGAATATTATCAGTATGTAACCATTCTTTTTTATTTTGACGAATTTTTATTATATACAAACAATTCGCAAAGGCCTTCTGCGTATTTCGTATTACTATGTATAAAGTTTCCCAGACGTAAAATCTCAGAAATGTCAGTAAAATTATCGCCTAAGAAGACTTACATTTTTGCGAATGTTTTTTCATTATAAAGGAACCCACGGTAACATATTTATTGTCAGTTATCTCTATAATTTTAAAACGTATAATAATGTGTATAAATAATAATCTAAAAGTTATAATAATTTATTAGAAACTAGCGGCTTACCCTTGCTTCGCTCGGGTTCGCCTCTATAAAAGCAAAAACAAATCTATCCCTCGGGAATCGTCTATTTTTCCGGGATAAGGTAGGTAATAAAGTATCCTATGTGTTATTCCAGACTATATTCTATTTCTGTACCAAATTTCATCCAGATCCGTTCAGCCGTTCTGGCGTGAAAGAGTAACAAACATCCATACATACTCACAAACTTTTACATTTATAATATTTATTATGCAGATAGGTAATACGTTACTACCTATCACCAATATATCCTTAGGCTGCACTTATTGAAACAATAACTGTACGACTAATATTAGTCCATTTGATTATATTAAAAAAAGTGTGTGTATACTTACATAAGAAGTTATACTTCTTTGGCGTAACAGAACAAAACTAGCTAAAGATTTCATCCCGTATGTCACAACTCTCTGTTTGTAAAAGGAATGATAAATCAATAAAATAATAAAAAAAAACATATTACAATCATATATTTATAGAATATCATTTAAGGAAAGAATATAATATTATATATCACTAGCAGAACCCGCGGCTTCGCTCGCGGTTAAACTATAAAAAAAACTCTAAAAAGGTAGGTTTCATAATTTTTAAAACGGTATAGAAATAAGTACTACATTGCAAGCAATATTCATTTATAAATATAACAAAATTGTAACTAAGCTGAATCTACACATTAATAGTACATTAGATATTTTTTGGAAAATCTTATTGAAATAAACATTATTATCGATACAGAGGCCGAATCTATAGTTTTTAGAATTTTTGTCTGCTTGTTTGTCTGTTACCGCATCACACAAAAACCACTAAAGAGATTTTGATGAAATTTGGTATGGTCATAGCTGGTTATCCGAGTCCACATAAAGGAAATTTTTTACCGCGGGAAAATATCTCATTTCTGAGAAAAAATACAAAAACTGCATGTAAGAGTAACTAATATGTAAAACCTAAGAATTTGGTTTTTGGTCATCTGAACGCGGGCGGAGCCGCGGGCAATACTAGTATATTATAAGATTGATTTTATTGCTGTCTATTGTTAACCCTCAATCTCAAGCAAGATAACCTTTAAAGATTTGTTACATAATAATGTGGATATCATTACTAGTAAGTATGCAATAATAATTACAATTGTTGTTAAATTATGGGACAAATAGGGTAAAATACAAATCAAAAACACCATAAAGTTTTTCGTCACAAGTTCTAGCTTTTCGTTCTTCTAGTTCATAGCATTTCTTAATTAGTTGACGTCATATTGTATCGTATGGTGGGTCCATGAGGTTCATAATCTCCTATAGAATTTTGTCTGTGCAACAAAGCAGTACCTATAATCAAATGTCATGGGTCGTTCGTCTGTTTTTGTTATTTGTCGGTATCAATTAACCAAAATGTTGATTATTCTTGGTGATAACTGGTTTTGCCAACGTCCGTTAAGTCTACGTGAAATGTTTTACTCGGAGCTCATATTACCTATTATCTAGACTTTATAGAACAAACATTCGAGTACTAAATTACAAGCAATATTTATATATTATAAGATCGATTAATGCTGTCTACTGTTGACACTCATCTCAAGCTCAGTGACCTTTAAAGATGTATGTAAAAAAGATTTTATCATGTGGATCCAATATTAAGTGAAATTAAATATATATATATATATATATATATATATATATATATATATATATATATTATATAAGTTAAATATGTATATAAATAAATAAGTGATATATCTTTAACTTCAATTTGGAATGAAATATAAAGAGATAAAACGGGGTTTCCCTAAAATTTGTTTAAATATTTTATTTTAAATAGTCATCTCGGTTCTGATATCAATACCCGTATCTTGTAACGTCGGAATCACTTAAAGTTTAGCCAGCGTTTGACAAAAACAGGTAAATAAATGAAAACCGTATCAAAATCTATTGTGTGGCTTAGAAGAACCTGAGCGGAAAACCCGATACAGGCAGGCAGTTGAGATATGTATAGGCGAGCCATTTCAGCTCGAATAAAATTTTCGTTTTTTCCATGAAAATAACACAATTTACTTACCTATAGATAGTTTCTGTGTAATAAATTGATTGTTTTTTTTTTTTAATTTTTGAATGAAGGATAACTCGGCTTAGTTTTTTTCTTTCTTTAGTGGCTTAGAGTTGCCGAACTAGTTTACTGTGTGTTTTCCCGTGTTAATGATAGATTTTCCTGTTGTAAAAGTTATCCTAAATGTTAATCCGAGTAATAAGAAGTTATCTGTGCAAAATTTTGTTAAACGTTCAGTTGTGTTTGCGAGAAATGCGATCAGACAAACAAACAAAAAATCCCACTAATATTTTTACCTGACTGCAACGAAGTCCAAAAGAGGAGAAAGGTTGTTAATGAGTATTATTTAAAATCAAAATGGCGGAATCTAGGCGCCAGTTTGTATCTTGAAGAAAAAAATTCCTCGAAACCTATCAACTTGGGTATCAAAATGAAGATTTTTTAAAAGTGATTACAAAAATACATGTAAGTATACAAGTTATGTTTAAATATAATTTAAGATAACAAATTCTTAAATAAAACTCAAAATGCTTAAAAAAAGAAAAAAAACTTGACCGAAAAAATAAAAACTCGGACTAAGGATAAAACATTGTGGCCCACTTCGGTGGGTGTTGTACCATTCGGGTTGCTTGTTGTAGTAACTCCATGGTTGTTGTGGTTTGCCTCGGCAACCCAGCAGTCGGGACGTCGTGGTTGAGTGCATAAGAAGGGATCCTTTGTGTTGCCGTACTAATTTTTCTAGCCGGTGAGACTCACATAACCACTGTATCTGCAGCTACGCTTAAATGCATTTTCCAACGTTTAAAAAAGGGACAAGTTATGAAAAATATAAATTATAAATTTATTTTCAGTATTTTTAAACTAAACGACAAACTTAATATATCTAACTACTTTTATTATCTTTAATTAGTTTTAAAATTATAAAGACTTAAATATTAAATTTTCTTGGGAAAGGCTTCAAAATGCGCCAGTAGAGCATAAATTACTTCACAAGTGTCACACAGAATGGAGAAGACATGAGGATTATAAAATACCTTAATTTAATTTATACCTGTAATTATCCATCATTTGATATGTCACACAATGCGTTTAACATTCTTTATACTTTTCTTATTTGTACCAAAGTTAACACTAATAAGTAATATTAATTATTCTTATCTTAAACCATCTTTTAATTATTTGTATATAATGCAACATAACACGTCTAGATTTAAAAGACAAAAGCTAATACACAAACAGACGAACACGCAAAGACTCTAAAAAAATATTCGTTGAAAGTATGGAAATCATAGAAAAACTTATTTCTATTTTATATTTAATACATTTTGAAGTAGACTTTATGTTTTTAAGGACGATCGTTAAATGTTTAACTAGAACACGTGATAATTAAAAATACTTAAGCTATTTTCAGCTTTCATATTGTAAGAACGTTTCGAAGTTACCCCTTTTGCTGTTATCGCAACGACGTTCGAACAAGCCAGTTTTATGAATAATGGTCGGCAATCACGAAAGACTTGCAAAACAATACGTTCATATTGATCAGACGAAGAACTGCTAAGGTTTAAGTCAAGTCTACTATTGATCGTTTAGGACTTTGTAAATGTTATATAACAATGAAATTAATTAAAAATATATAATAAAAATTCGATCGCCTTGGCGTAGTGTTTGAATTGTAAGTGATTATTTATATTGGCCAATTACCCTATATTTGGTCCGATTTTGCTTGCATTTTTGCATGTTACACTAAGTAAATATTTATAAGTTTATTAATAAATTTATATCTTCTTGAGTGACCAAAATATTCGTACAGTAGTGGATATAGGGGAATGTTTAGTTGTATGTAAAAATATTGTATTCTTCAATGGGTTTGGTAAAAATGAAAGATACTTCATTTTCCAAATTTATTTCTGAAGGGTTTTTAAAATAGATAAATAATCTTTTATTCAATTTAATTTTCATTTCAATAACGTTTTATAAATAAATTACGACTCTATTAATAGCTATACAAAAATAATGTTACAAATTTACAACTTATATTAAAATATTACGATAAAATTATATAAATTAAGTCTAAAATGAACAAGTTTAATGATACCCTTCTGCTAAAAATTGAGTCAGTACCAGAGTCATCCTGAATCTCTTTACAGCATTTCGTACCAATTTCAACTACTTTTGGATAAAAATCTGTCCAAAATTCCAAGGCTTTGTAATTAATATTGTAAGGAGTACTCATTGTAAAATTTTGTCTGTCTATTATGAAAAATCCTGGTTTTTCAGTTTCAAAAGTATCCCATTGAATAATGACACCCGAATTTGTCGGATTGGAATACCAGGCAAAGTTCGTCCACATCTTCATAACAATATCAGATATACTTTTATCTCTGTAGTCCCATTTTGTTAAATCTTCTGGCAATGCTAAATAAGGCAAGCCAAAAGTAAAAATCAAATCGAAATTATGTGGTACTGAGACCCAATCTGGTATACCTTCGTTAGCGATATCTGAAAAGGGTTTTAAATCAAATCTATATAAATATACAGGAGCGTGCTTACTAACATACTTGGCTAATTGGTATGTTGTGGCCCCATATACCTTGTCAGTGTAAAAATCCAACAATTGATGTCGTAATATAGTCTCATTGGTCGTTGGTGGTATTGGCTTGTAGAAGAACGCAACTGCATCTTGAATATGGTGTTGATTAGTAAAACATGAACTATTGTCTACAGTTATATCAGAAAGAATTACTTCTTCACGCATTATATCAAATTCTCTTTGACTTATACCTGAATCTCCATCTTTATCTAAAAGAAGAGCATCCTCCATATTGGTGTAACCAGTCAAAATAGGCACAGGACTAAATATTTCATCATCAAACATTTTACTTGGTTGATCTGTTAAGAACGGCTGAGATATATTGCTAAAACCGTTGTCGATTATTGGTTTCCATGAAGCTAAAGGTTCTCCAATATCCAGTAGAGCTTGATAATTAACTCGCCTAAGACAATCTAGTAACTTAGATGTTGGTTTTCTGAAACAGCTAAAGGCAGTTGCCACTTTATCGACTGTTATTATTTCTTTTCTAGCTATGTTCACCGTCTCCGAAGACAAAACGTTACCACTCATTGCAATAGCTTTTTGAAATAGTCCTGCAGAATAAGGTGATATTAAATGCAGCCCAACGCTAACTGCACCTGCGTCATGTCCAAATATACACACATTTTCAGGATCTCCACCAAAACTTTCTATGTTATTTTTTACCCAATAAAGAGCCGCAACTTGATCTAACAAGCCAAAGTTTCCCGGAGCCTCGTTATCCAAAGTTGAAAAGAAGCCAAATATATTTAAACGGTAGGCCACAGTTACAAAGATTACCTGCAACAATGAATTTTTCATTAATATATTTTCTTAATTTATATGAATGTTGATGTACTCGTGACCGATTTCGGCCAAGGCGGCCAATCACTGAGACTGGCTAACTACGCGGGAGATATTATAGCGCATAAATATCTCTCAATTCCGATGGGACGATAATTTGTCAAAAATAGTGAGAGATCAGGCGTAGGACGGTAGATTTTACGTATTTTCCGAGTCACGGGGGTGAAACACCACCCACTTACTAACTAAATATATATAACACTTGGTCCGACCTGGGACTCGAACCCGCAACATCCGGACCGGCAGCCGTACATGTTAGCCATTAAACTACCGATCCAGGTAGCCCATATGATTAATAAAAAAACATACAAGATCCTCCTCTTTTTTGAACAAGTCAGTTAAAAATAAAATTAGCATAGGCCGCTTACTCGGCCTAGACAGTACATATATTTTTAAAAACATAAATTGATATAAGGGTACCTTTTGTTTGAGCACCAGTTGGAACGGATTAACACTATTAGCGCTACCACGAACAAAATCTCCTCCGTGAAACCAGACCATTACTGGATAGCCTTCTACCTTTGCATCTGAAAAATAATAATAATTATTATTATTATTTATTTTATACACCACTAAAGCACATACAATAAACAATATTACATACAAAAACAAACATACATATATTAAGATACAGAACAATCTTAGTTTTTAATCTCAGTTTTAACTTATTTTAGGCTGACGTCGGCACAAAAGATATGGTAGCCTCTGTTGCCGCACTAGGAGACGTGTATGACGGCATACAGCGCCTATAAATAATAACGAAATAAATAAAAAAAAATAACATATTATGTTCAATTAATAAAAGTGGTAAACAGAAGTTGACGTAGCACAGATGTCGTTTCTTCCGAAAATCAAAAAAAAATTTTTTTTTTCTGACTGACCCTATAAATACACAAAAAAATCATCAAAATCAGTGAAGCCATTGAAGCGAGGAGAGAAGTACGAGCACACACACGCATCAAAAATTAATTTTCATCAAATAAAGAATTAATTTTCATTAGTATTGCTACGGGAAAGAAATTTTAATATCGGCAGTCCAACAAGATTGCCAGAAAATTCTATAAATGTCAAACGAAAGCATTTTCTAATAATGGCCTGTTGTTCGTCGATCAAAGTTAATGCTAAGTTGAAAATATTAAAAATATGAGATAAAACAATATCGTGTGACTTCTATGACTATTTATTGAATTTTTATTTCAAAGACAACATTGTTTTCAAATGATGCTACGAGAAACACTCGAACTCTTTTATGTAACTTATATCTTTGCGTATACATAGATACAAGTTGTGTAAGATTGATATTGGTTTGTTTAATATACCTATTATAATAAATCAGATCTACACGTCTTGTTGCTCTCGTGGGTACGATACTGTACTAAAAATCTACATTTTTAAAAAAGGGCGTTAATGGTAATATTTGGGGTTCTTATGTTACTACTAAAATAAAAAATAAATTATCCAACGAAAAACAAAACACAAATCTATCCCATGGGAACCGTACATTTTTCTGGGATAAAAATTAACCTATGTGTTATTCTGATGTATAAGCTATATTATTGTAAAGTTTCATTAAAATCTATTCAGTACTTTTTGCGTGAAAGAGTTAGAAATATCCATACATCTGTAGATCCAGACATCCAGACACCCTCACAAACTTTCGCATTTATAATATTAGTAAAACAAAATTAAAATGTTCACCCTTCATTCTCAACATAATAATATTCGTTGAAATGCATTCTTAACAAATTATAAAGTAACTACTACCTACAAATATTTAAAAGTGCAATTTCTAAGACTGCGTTTATCAGAATAACTGGTATATTGCAGTTAAAGTATGCAATTTTAAAGAAATTCACAAACATGAGAAATAACTGTTAAGAATTTAGCCATATATTAAGGCACGTACATTGTACACACTTAAGGCAGTACGAGCTATTTTCATCAAATAAAATCCTACTCTAATACAACCTTTAATTGTACTAAAGCATTGTTTTTGCTAACTTATGATAGTTTCATTATAATTTCAAACTTTAAAGTGAAAAGTTTTATATAACAAACCTCAAAATCACTGATCAAATTTCAATTGAACACAAATAAAATAATTTAAAACATCTATTTCTGTCTAGGGTTGTAATATATTAAAAATTATTAGCTTAGACAGCAGTAACATTTAATAAGTTTTCATACGACTGTCTCGCTCATTGTATGCGCGTATCTTTATTTTTAGTATAATTTAGGTCACGTAGCTAGATTAAGGTTAGGGTGGCCGAGTCAAAGTGGTTGAACAAGAGTATTGGCACGAAATTTCTGCATTAATGTTAGGAATCCATTCAAAACCATAAAGTCTAAATTGCTCTACATTGCTATTAACTATAAAGGCTTAGTTGACAATTTAGGTCGACTTTCTGGAGTTGAATTACCAATATGACTGACGCGGGTCAACAAAATATTGTTCTAATTTGAAAACATTACAATACAATGTCTTCATCTTGCAAGCCCTTAATAATTGGTGCAATGAAGATAGTTTATCTATACATGTAATAAAACTGTAGAGAATGTCTGTACATAGCAAAAAAATGTTAAAGAACGGGTTAGGGAGATGTAAGAAGAGAAATAGAACAAATCCAGATTTTTTTCAATTTGTTTTTGATTCTCTGTCTGTCTGTTTGTATGGGCTAATCTCCGAAACTGTTAGACTGATTTAAATAACATTTTGCATGGTGCCACTTTATATCCCAGGTCAACATTTTAGATACCTTTCATCCAGAAAATTAAAGAGTTCCCGTGGGATAGTTAAAAAACTATAATAACTTATACAGCTTAGTATACAACAACTTATGTACCTGATTTAGTAAAATTTGGATGCTGATAGCTTATATTGCCGGTCAAACAACAGGTGATAGATCTGTACGTGCTGTTCTAAAGTGTCTAAGAATAACGTAGGTAATGTAAAACTGCTTTCCTTAAATAGGTAAAATATAAAGAAAACAAACGTGCTTCAAATCTAACACGTCGTGGTAGTTTCAAAGATTAATGATTGTAGTCACTACAAACAAAAACACATTTCAACATTATAACATAGGTATTACTAAATGTACATATTTATAAAACGTGTTGCGATAAAATATCATTTTTTCTCGAAGGTATCTGAAACCGGATAATTCGGTCACATTGATAAATCGCACGGTCCAAAATGGTCTGTTAGGGGAAGAAAGGTATTCTGACAGCAACATTTTTCTGGCCTTTCAAATATTTCACTTCACTACAAATAGTTCCCATCGTGATGGAAATTGTATCATTAAATATTCTTAAAATATATGTATGTACGTCAAAAAAAAAAACAAAATTAATTAAAAAAGCGAACACATCGCAGAAATAAAATCAGCTAAAACGTAATAATCAGTTATTTTGAATAGGTAAATGTTAAAAAATAATTTTGTTCAATAGAAGATGTTTCCAAATAAACTATTGGATCTAATTATCTTAGTTTCAAGCTTAACAAATTTATATTACACTAGCAGAACCCACGGTTTCGCTCGCGCTAAAACTACAAAAAATATTTAAAAAGGTAGTTTCCTACAAATTTTCGTCCCCTATTTTACTCCATTATAGAATATTATATAATACTAGCATTGCCAGCGGCTCCGCCCGCGTTCTGATGACCAAAAACCAAACTCTTAGGTTTTACATATTAGTATACTCTTATATTGCAGTTTTTGTATTTTTTCTCAAAAATGAGATGTTTTCCCGCGGTAAAAAGTATCCTATATGTTGACCCGGGTAACCAGCTATCACCATACCAAATTTCATCAAAATCCCTCCTGTGGTTTTTCTGTGATGCGGTAACAAGCAGACAGACAGACAGAGACAAAAATTCTAAAAACTATAGTATTGATAATAATATTTATTTCAATAAGTTTTTCCAAAAAATATTTAACGTACAGATTCGGCTTAGTTACAATTTTATTATATGTATAGATTGTTTAGATTTTTTATTTAAAGTAAATTTTCATCCAAGTGTTGTTTACTAACATCATTCATACTTTACAAAGTTTTACAAGACGACTAATTAATTTAACCCCTAAAGATTAAGGAATTCTCATTAAAGCCATTAAAAACAATTAATTTCATAAGTCAAATGAAAATAATTAAAATCTAAATGAGAATTTCAAAGTTGCTTAATTTATGACACCCTTTTATCTCCATTGCTTAAATATTTTTAATTGAAGAAAATTTGTTGTGAAAAGTTTAGTCATTTAGAGTGAACAATCTCTAACATTAGCTCATAATTCAAAGTTAGTACTATACTTTTCTATGGCTTCTCTTGCATACAGCCATTAAAACAAAAATCTAACAAATCTAGAGTGATATAACTTGTTTTATGGGAAAAAATATTTTTTTTTAATTATATTATTTTCTAAAATAACTGGTGGGCATAGTTAAAAGAAATATGGAAAAATACGAAAATATCGAAATGTATGAAAATATGTTATATTTGTAGTTTCGCAGAGAAATAAATGATATAAAATTAGTTTTTTTTTTTTTTAAAAAGAGGATAAAGTCTTTAACACAGTTTTCTTATAAATTAGATTTTAATGTTTGTTTGGTTTAGTCCTTAAAGTTAGCGGATGGTACTAGAAGGCTTCGACCGAGTCGTTGTGTTGATTCTTGAAGACGGAGATGACGTTTTTCCTTTTTATGTGCTGAGTTAATTATCTGATTTATTTATTCCTCAATATATAATTTATTGTTTATTTATCCCTGTGCCTTTAGATGCTTTTTGGATTTGTAATATTAAGTTCTCGTATTGTTCAGATTTGATGAATTATTTACAAAATCGACTTCTTGAAGTTCTATAAATAAAATATGCTTCCCAAGTCCGAGGTGCTTCTAAGAGAAAAACCTAGTAACTATTTAGAAATGACTGGGACCGAATCCAGGAAGTTATACCTGCAGCTGTACAATCTAGTTTCTAAAATCTAGACGAACGATGCAGTCATATTATATTTCTAATTTTTTTTATTAAAAATCGGCTTACTCTTGACCTTCATCTTAGCTCGAAGGCATAGATAAGGTCGAAGAATATATGTGTATATCGAAGATCAAACTTATTTTGATACATTAAAAGTTTATTTTCCATTAGTTTAATGTAGAGGAATAGAATGGCTTATTGCTAATTAATCACATACATATATATATATATATATATATATATATATATATATATATATCCCATCAATTTCAGTTATAATACGTTAAAGCGAGATTAATCCTGCACTCGCTATACTTCATCAGAAATCACTACCGCAATGTAAATTACGTCAGCGTATTAATAGCAGGAACTGTAAGATTATTTGAGAAAGGAAATATATGAAAACTGATTAAAATTTAATTAATATTAATAATTAATTAATTAATTAATGTGCAAACATAGAAATAATTGTTTTTTTTTTAATGTATTTTAGTTGTTATCGAATTGCAGTCTACTGCAAAAATATCTGTGCGATTTGGTTTGGAATCTGGTTTC